ATACCTCAAATGAGATGGAAGAGGCTTCAAATCAAGTATAGGTGCCTGCTGAAGAGATGACAGTGGTGGTGAAGAGCTCTTTTCCAAGTCCTTATAATTTGGTGCTCTTTTATAAGACCGAGAAGGTTAAGCCTCCAAATAGTGTACCATATGCTCAACTTCAGGATCTTCCTCTTTGATAGCCAAAGGACAAACAAGACATGTTTCTAGAGGATCCTTAGGAAGCTGGTAAAAAGACTCGGCAACCATATGATCAACAACATCCACTCGAAGGCACGAATCAGATTTCGATGGATACTTGATGGCCTTTAAGATATTGAATGTAACTTTTTCATCTTGGACTCTTAGAATGAGGCGCTCTCTTGCACATCAATCAAAGCTTGGCCGGTGGCAAGAAACGATCGTCCTAAAATGATAGGGATGTCATGATCCTCTTCCATGTCAAAAATTATGAAATCGACTGGAAATATAAATTTGTCCACCTTGACCAATACATTCTCAATGACACCCCGAGGATATTTAATTGATCGATCAGCCAATTGTAATGATACAGTGGTGGCCTTGGCTTCTCCCAATCCCAGCTTCCTGAAAATAGACAAAGGCATCAAATTAATACTGGCACCAATATCACATAAAGCTTTACTAAAATTTAAATCTCCAATAGTGCATAGAATAGTAAAACTCCTTGGATCTTTGATTTTCGATGGTAGCTTCTTTTGAAGGATAGCACTACACTCTTCCGTTAGCATTACTGTCTCATGTTATTCGAGTTTCCTTTTGTTTGAAAGAATGTCCTCCATAAATTTGGCATAACTCGGCATTTGAGCTAATGCATTGGCAAACGGAATGTTTATGTGTAGCTTCTTGAATACCTCCAAAAATTTTCCAAATTGAGCATCCAATTTCTGTTTGTGAAGCCTTTGTGGGAAGGGAATAGGAGGCACATAGGTTTTGACCGGTATTGGAGCCTTTGATGTTGATGGCTCCGGTTCTTCTTCAATTAGTGTCTCATCCTTTGGATCAGGTTCTTGCATAATCCTTTTTTCTTCAATTGGTGCCTTGTCGGTTTAACCCTTAGGGTGTGTCACCGTGATTTCGGGCAATTGCACCCGACCTCTAGTGGTAATAGCTTGTACATTCTCCCTTGGATTTGTTTCAGTGTTGCTAGGCAATGCCCCATGTTGCCTTTCGGAGATAAGCTTGGCAATTTGACCCACTTGACGTTCCAAGTTTTTTAAAGAGGTATCATTGCGTTCTTGATATTGCAATAGATGGTTTTCCAACTTAGCAATGGACTCTTCCCAACCTTCTTTTTTCTCTTGTGGCCTCGAGTTAAGCACATTTTGATTATTTCCATAAGAAAAGTTTGGATGATTTAACCAACCGGGGTTATAAGTTTGCGAATAAGGATTATACCCTTGGCATTGAAAGTTTTGAGTATATGCCACTTGCTCAGTAGATGCTAAACAACTACCTATCAATGGACAACTCGGGCTATACCATATGAGCAGAATGAGAGCTCGAGGTAAATGTAGAAAGTCCTTCTACCTTCTTTGCTAGTGAGTCGATCTTTGCTAGAACCATTGAGAAAGATTCACCATCTCGAACTCCACCAACCCCTGTTTGTGGACCTCTATCCGACCACATAGCACTTTGTTCACTCATGACCTCAAATAGATCATATGCTTCCCGAATACTCTTCTTCTTAATTGAGCCGTTAGATGATGAATCCACATTTGAACGACAAGAAGGAGTCAACCCAGCATAAAAATAATTCACTTGTTGCCCCATTGTGATTCCATGATTTGGACATTTTGGAAGCATATCCTTGAAACTCTCCCAAGCCTTGTGAAAGCTCTCAAATTCGGATTGTTGGAAAGTGGTTATGTCATACTTGAGTCTAGCTACTCGGGCGTGTGGAAAGAATTTGGTTGTGAATTTTTGAATAAATTCCAACCAACTATTTATACTTCCAGGCGGTAGAGTCTCAAGCCATTCCCTTGCCTTATCCTTCAATGTGTGAACAAATAACCTCATCCGGATCGCCTCCACATTTACATCTTCATATTTAAAATTTCCAACATTCTCTATGAATCGTGCAACATGTGAGCGAGGATTCTCATCAATCCTTCCATAGAATGGAATGGTATTGGAGAACAAACTAATAACATCCGGACGAAGTTGAAAGTTTGGATGTCCATATGGAGGGCAGACAATACTTGATTCATTCTCTACTACGGGTGGGTTCATGAAGTCTCCAAATAGCATATCTTCCTCATTTACAATAGGCTCTTGAGCTCTACCCGCTTGGTTACTAAAACCCGTTGGAATGCCACCTCGAGGAATATTTTTCAGTTGAGCATTATGTTCCAAATTACCCCCTTGGTGTGCCATCTCAATCAATTGTTGCCTTCTCAATTCCCTTTGTTTTCGTCGCCTTCTTCGAAAAGTTTTTTCAATATCCGGATCAAGCTCGAAAAGATCAAAACTTTTCGAACGAAGCATGCACCACCAAAGACCTAAGGAAATCTAAATTAAAAGTTAATTACACAATAAATATATAAAAGCTATGCAAAAGAAAAAAGAACAAAACTTGTAAAAATTAGAATCAACAAAAGATGATAATTGAAATAAAACATTCCCCTGCAACGGCAACAAAAACTTGTTCGCTAAAATACTACCGCAAGTGCACGGGTAGCGTTCAAGTAATAAAGTGGACATTTGATGTCTGGGTTGTCAATCCCTCGAGGAATGTTTACTTTAAATTACACAAATTTAATCAATTTAATTCTAACAATGAAAATAAACAAACACACAATAAAGATTTGATTTTAGAAACTAAGGAAAAATCATACAAACTAAGAAATTATGGGAATCTTGGGAATTTTGGAGGAAAACATGGTTGGAATTCATGGTTTCGCTTAACCATCGCCTAATTAATTTCTCCACATACCAATTAATGAATTACTCATTTACGATGTTACACCCGATTTTTCAATTTTAGCTAATTACCTCTCTCGAGTGAAATTAACCCTAATTGATTGGTTTAACCTACTATATCTTTATGTCGATCACAACCAAACAACCGCATTAAATTGTTATGAAAATAACTCATTGGGTTACCTAGGGCTAGAGGTATATATCTATCCTCTACACAAACCTAGAGTTTTTACCATTTGCTCTAAAATGCACAATCTTCTCTCGAACTATGTACACTTCATGAAATATATTCATTCATTGGCCACATAAATGAAAATGCAATAAATACAATAATAGAAACATATGGAAATGGGCAATTTAATATCAAATAGAAAATATTGAAAATCAATTAAGCCTAGGTCAAGCTACTACCATAAATCCCAACAAAATACTTAGTCCATGTTAAATAAATGATACTCAAGGAGAATATTCATCCAGTGTATTACAAATATGGCTAAATAATGGAGAAAATACAAAGATATAGATAAAATTCTTTTTTGTAAATTGGCTATGATTTTTCCCGAATACTTTGCCAAATCCTTGATGTAATCTCCTTGTTGCTCTATGTTGTATCTCCAAAATAACCAAGAAAAAGAAAAGGAAATGAAAATGAAAGAAAGAAAAAGAAGCAGAAGCTGAAATTTGAAGCTACCGAATGAAAACTCAGTTGCTGGTTTTTATATTAAAACCTAGGATAATTGTAGCCTTGGTCCTTGAAGTTTCAAAAGTATGGATAAAGGTCCCCGATTCTTTTTTTTAATAAAACCGGAGCCAAGGCGCTGGAACAGAGGCGCCTGAGTTTCTGTGCAAAAGGTCAAGAAATGGGTTTTTGGCGAATTTGCAGCTAAGTCCCTCAATAATTGCACGTCAGGTCCCTCAAGTTTTATTTTATACAATTTGGTCCTCGGATTTTGACTTTCATTTTGATTATGTCCTCCATAAATTGTAAGGTCAAGTCCTTCATCTTTTGACACATGCATTTTGGTTCCCAACTTCACAACTTTGCACACTTTTAATCCATTTTTCCTCCTTTTGCTTTGTTTTCTTTATTTGAGTGATTTTTATCCTACAAAAATAAATATTACATAATTATGAATAGAATTCTATTCATTTAATCAATAATTATATCAAATTAAGTGCCAAATAAGTGTGAAAAAACACACTTATCAACTCGCCAAAGTTGTTCTTGTGAAGAAGGCAGTGGCAAACGGAGGGTCTGCATCGACTTTAGATCTCAATAAGACATGCCCTAAAGACTGTTACCCACTCCCTAGGATAGACGATATTGTGGATAGCACGTCCGGACATAAGTTGTACAGCCTCTTAGATGAATTCTTAGGGTATCATCAAATCCTCATGGCCAAGGAAGACCAAGAGAAGACTTCCTTCATGGCTTATTCATCTATATACTGGTACAGGGTGATGTCGTTTGGGTTGAAAAATGCTGGGGCAACATATTAGAGGCTCATCAACAAAGTCTTCGCTAATTTGATAGGGAAGAACATTGAGGCCTATGTTGACGATATGGTGGTAAAGAGTAATAAGGTAGAGTAGCACATATCCGACCTTGAGGAAGTATTCGCCACCTTATTAAAATATCGAATGAAGCTTAACCCTGAAAGTGTGTATTCGGTGTGGCTTCGGGAAAATTTTTGGGTTTCATGATCACTCATCGGGGGATCAAAGCAAACTCCGATAAGATACAGGCCTTGGCAGCAATGGAATAGCCCAGGACTAAGAAAGATGTTCAAAAGTTGATAGGTAGGGTAGTAAACCCTAACAGATTTATGTCCCGAGCAGCAGACAGGTGCTTCCCTTTCTTCAAAACTCTCAGAGGCAGCCAATCCTTTGAATGGAATGAGGAGTGTGAGAAGGCTTTTCAAGAGCTCAAACAGACATTGACATCTCCTCCTATCCTCGCTAAACCAGAGCTCGAGGACAGTTTGTTTTTGTAGTCTCAAAACGCAGTAACCGGCGTCTTGGTAAAAGAGGTAAACAGAGCCTAGCAGCCCATTTACTAAGTAAGTAAAGTCCTATTTGGTGCAGAGACAAGGTACACTTTGGCCTAGCAGCTTGTCCTTACCTTGATAGTGGCAGCACGAAAGCTTCGACAATATTTTCAGTCTCATCCCATTGTGGTACTCACTTATCAGCCTCTAAAACACATCCTTCAAAGGCCAGACGTCTCAGATAGGTTACTAAAGTGGGCAATTGAACTTGGAAAGTTTGAAATAGAGTTCAAACCCCATCCGTCCATCAAAGCCCAAGCCTTAATAGATTTCATTGCAGAACTCACCCCAAGGTCTCAAGAGCCAGATGGTAGTTCGAGCACTACAATAGATGATTGGCAAATTTTCGTGGACAAAGCATCGAACTCCTCAGGCTCGGGTGCCGGGGTCATCATCACAAGCCCGAACATGCTCATAGACATTCAGTGTGCACTTAGGTTCGAATTCGAGGTAACCAATAATGAAGCAGAGTACGAGGCTGTCATCATAGCCATGGAACTTGCCATTAATTTCGAACTTAAAAGTATCAAAATCTTTAGTGATTCCCAGTTGGTGGTTGTCCAGATTAATGGTACATTCAAGAATAAAGACGAGAAAATGAGCTTATACTGATTAAAAGTTCATGATCTTTGACGAAAATTGAAGAGTTGTGAAATTCTGAAGATCGCCCGGGCTGACAACTGCAAGGCAGGCGCCTTATCAAGGCTGGTGTTCATGAGAGTAGACAGGACAGTACATGTCAGAATTGTGACTGAGCCTAGCATCAATCCAACCGTTAGGGTCATGGACGTTGATCATGGGCCATCGTGGATAGACCCAATTGTGGATTTCATAACAAATGGTAATCTTTCAGAAGATCCTCGAACAGTAAGAAGCATCCGTTCGAAATCTCCAAGGTATTGCATTATCAATGGGGTCTTATTTCGCAGAAGCTTTACACTTCTATACCTTAGGTGCCTTAAGCCTTTGGAATCCTCCCAAGCCCTAGAGAAAGTTCATGAAGGAGCATATGGGAACCATCAAGGAGCTCGAGCATTGGCCTTTAAGCTCATAAGGTATGGATATTACTGGCCTACCATGAAGAAGGATGCTGTAGAATATGTGAAGAAATGTGACAAGTGCCAGAGATTCAGCAATGTTATCCACTCTCCTGCCGAGGACCTCACCAATATCAGCTGCTCGGCCCCGTTTGAGCAATGGGAAATAGATATCCTCTGACAGTTTTCGATAACGAGGGAGCAATTGAAGTTCATAGTTATAGCAGTTGAGTACTTTACCAAGTTGGTGGAGGCTGAGACCTTGGTGACGATCTCAGAGCCCAAGATAAGAGCTTTCATTTGGAGGTCCATCATATGCAGGTTCGGGATACCGAAGGTCCTCATAACTGATAATGGCTGACAGTTTGACAATGCACAATTCAAGGATTTCTGCTCCAACCTAGGGGTTGACCACCATTTAAGGACTTACAGAACATCCCATAGGACTGCCACTAGAAAGACAACCTTCATGTTAGCTTTTGAAATCAAAGCTACCATTCCCATCGAAATAAGGTTACTCAGTCAAAGAAGACTTGATCTTGAAGAAACAGGGCACACCACTGAACATCTCGACGTCTTGGAAGAAGTTCCTAATCAGGTAGCCTTAAGAATGGCCTCTTACTAGGACAGAACAGCAACGTATTTCAATAAAAAAGTAAGACCGCGAAGATTTAGAGCCGGGGATTTGGTGTTGAGAAGAGTTGAAGTCCCTGGTCATGCTCCGGGAAAACTTGGGCCAGTTTGGGAAGGACCCTTTGAAATCATATGACAGCTCCCAAGAGGTGCATATAGTTTGAAGGATACTTCGGGAAGACCACTCCCAAGGCCTTGGAACGTCAAAAATTTAAAAGTATATTACAAGTAACCCGCTCTACCATGTTTTAGAAATTAGTCCTACGTGCCAAGTCAATTTTTTTTAATAAGGCTTGAGTGCCAAGACAATTAATAGAACATATTACAGTTAAAGTTAAATTCAATGGTCTACAAACAAAAGTCTTGCCCCGCGCAAGTGAATCAAACATTGCCCCCACGCAAGCACCTCAAAGCCTTGCCGCGTGCAAGCAAATCAAACTTTGCCCCGCGCAAGTAAATCAGGCCTTGCCCCGAGCAAGCAACTTAAGCCTTGCCCCCACAAGCAAATCAGGCCTTGCCTCGTGCAAGCACCTCAAAGCCTTGCCTTGAGCAAGCAAATCAAAGCTTTACGCCACGCAAACACATATGAGATATCAATCAGGACAGAAATCTCAAGTAAAATTCTCAAGCACATAGAATCCTGAGCACGGAGGTGATAAAACTTATAAAAAAGGCCCGAGTTGTCCTCGAAAATTTAGCTCAGGAATCACACATCATAGGTCGAGATTACCTTTGA